GGGACCTTGAAGGTCATCTAGTCCAACCCCCTGCTCAGGCAGGAAACCCTATACCATTTTGGACAAATGGCTGTCCAGTCTCTTCTTAAAAACTTCCAGTGTTGGAGCATTCACCGCTTCTGGAGGCAGGTTGTTCCACTGGTTAATTGTTCTCACTGTCAGGAAGTTTCTCCTTAGTTCTAGGTTGCTTCTCTCCTTGGTTAGTTTCCACCCATTGCTTCTTGTCCTGCCTTCAGGCGCTTTGGAAAATAGCTTGACTCCCTCTTCTTTATGGCAGCCCCTGAGATATTGGAACACTGCTATCATGTCCCCCCTCGTCCTTCTCTTCATTAAACTAGACATACCCAATTCCAGCAGCCGTTCCTTATATGCTTTAGCCTCCAGTCCCCTAATCATCTTTGTAGAAGTTGATTGTAGAAGAAAAAAGAAAAAAAATCAGTGTGTAATTTGTGGGAAGCAGAAGTGATGGAGGAAGCTGGCTGGTATGGCCGTGAATGGAAGCAGTACCAGGGAAGAGGGGTCAATTAGGTGTTAATCCCAGTAAGGGAACATGGGAAAGGCAGCTGTCACCTCATCTTGCCTTCATAATAGCATTTGCACCCTGACAACTTCTCACACTGAAACTGACCATTGTTGTCTTAACTCTGGATCTCCAAAACACATAGAGCGCTCAGAGGACATGACGGTCTCTCCAGTTGACCAATAGCAGAATGACTAGAACTCCCTCCACTCAATTCCTCTGTAATGATCATACAGAAACATAATTCTAAATCCTCTGAGAAGTTGTTGGGGAGCTATGTGAGGTGAGCTTGATTGGAAAAATGCAAATAAAGCACTAATGTCCTCTGATGGCTTCTCGGCCAATTCAACATCAACCCTTTCATACGTTTAGAAACTACTATGAGTTGTACAAGTGAAATCGCTTCTTGTTGCTGACAATTTTTCCACCAGCTATTTTATTCTTTATAGTTGTGACCGATGCTTATCGATCTTATTCTGGCTGCTGTGCAAGAGTGAAGAAAGATAAATTCTAAATATTAGAAACCTACAGATCAGTGGTGGCGAACCTATGGCATGGGTGCCAGAGGCGGCATTCAGAGCCCTCTCCGTGGGCACACGCACCATCGCCCCAGTCCTAGGCCTTCAGTTGGGTTTTATAAAACCTTTTTGCTTTAGGCCTCCGCTGCTGTGTGCAAAAAAAAAAAAAGGTTCAATCAGTCAATTTCAACTTCTCACGGAAAAAAAAAGATCTTGCAAAGTTGGAATTGATTGATTAAACTTTTTAGTCCCACCCAGTCTGCCATTACCACCGCAGCCACGCCCACCCAATTGGCCATGCCCACGCAATTGGCCACATCTAGCCAATGGGCCACACCCACCCGGCACTCGACGATGAATAAGTGGGTTTTGGGTTGCAGTTTGGCACTCGGTCTCTAAAAGGTTCGCCATCACTGCTATAGATCAAGATACTATGGGCTGCAGGTGAGTTCAGGGGCAGGTAGCAGGGGAGGCATGCGATTTTGTCAGTGAGAAAAACCAACGACCCACAAGGACTGCAGAGACAGTGATTAAACTACTTTGGATTCAAAAGCAAGTGTGACAAGATCAGGCTGGTCCGGAGCTGATGCCGGGGGGGAGGAATTCAGGACACTGGTATGAAAATACCTACAGGCAGCATGTGAGGAGTGAATCTCTGCTCCACCAATAAAGGGGAGCTCACCCTTGAACTGCTGCGAAAACTGAACAAATGGCAGCCATGTTTCACTGCTCCAAAAATGATACGTAGTATGTGATGCCACATACTTTCCTTGTATCTTACATGAATATGATCAAATCCTGCATCTGCTTTCCCTCTGTTTGTTAAGTCATTGTTGGAATATGCCCAAATGAGAGCAGTTGCTCTTGTATCTGTTAGAAGGCACTAGCAAAATACTCTGCCTGCTCGCTGGATACAGTTGGGATCAAACTTATGAGCAGTGCAGCATTGCTTGTTGTGCTAGCCTTCATTTCCAACCACGGTCATTGAACTGATTGAGTGGAAGAGCCTTAATCAGCCTGATATATGATGCCTTGTAGCTTGCTTGAACAGTAAACGGTCCTGTTTCCTTTGCTTCCCCATTTTCTCATCCAGTTAACAGAAGACTTTGAATGTACAAGTTGTGTCAGCTGCTGCTGAACTCTAGTGATTGTTTATTATGAATTATGGAATTCTTTGTCAGTGCTATGCCCTGAGATGATTGTTTGATTCTTCTATTTGTTTGTTCTTACAAGGTTTAAATAATGCTGTGTTTCTCTGGTTCTTTGTGAAGAGGGAATTGTTTTAGGGGAACATTTTCACACGGTGTACACCTACATTGTTTGCTAGTGAGATCTTATACGCATATTCTAGCTTGTCCCTTTTGAAGCATCTGTTGAACATGGTAACTTGAACAGAGAGAGAATCACCATACTCAAGATTTTTTCATCTGTTCTCCTGAATGCTGAAAAAAAAATATGTTTGGATTTCAAGTGTAGCTCTTCAGTTCTGTGCTGTTGCGTATAGGTTACTTGTACATTGTGTGCGTGGAATAAAGTGCTGTGTAACAAACGTGTAGGGCCACTATTACACAAAGCAGGCAACAGTGAATTATTACTTATTTCGAAGAAGGGAAGTATTACACATTCCTGCCACTACCAAGAACGACTATTGATTGTAAAACGTTCCAATTGCTGCTTTCACCCCAAGGGCAAGCGGCAGATACACAACAGTTCCTACTGAAGATCATCTTATTACTTATTTATTTATTTATTCAGGGTGATTGAAAGTATTATGTAACTCTGAGATGTAAGTTGGCTGCAAGGTCAGCCAAACTTAAAGAGAAACATTCTCTGGGTAGAAACGGGAGGAAGTGCCTCAATCTGACGATATGGTAGATCATGTCAAGGGAGGAACTAGAAAATTAGTTTAATATTTAATTGAAAATCACTTGAGTGGAGGAAGGAGGAATTTTATTTTTCGTCTTTTCCAACTTCTATAAACTTATTACGGAAATGTCATAAAAGTGGGAGACACGTTTGCCTGTGATGCTTTTGGCCTTGCAAGCAAGCCATGGGTGCACATTGATGGAGAGAGCCATTAGATTTTGTGTGCACCCAGAGCTCATGTGTGACCGCAGAGCTCATGTTTGCATTTTGATCCGCATGGCCCTCCTGGGTCATGGAATTGGACTTCTCCCATAGTGCCTGCAAAATCAGGCAGTCATATACTCAGTGACTTGGTCTCCATCCATCCCAGAAGGAGAAATGGGCAGGGAAAAGGACATTCTTCAGGGCAGAAACTTGCACCCTATTTCACTATGCAAAGTTTGGGTTGTGATTATGGGATCTAAGACGGAATTTGCACATTAAAGGAATCGGAGGGCAGTCATAGGATGTAGTTGCTCTGTATCAATTTTATTTGTTTATGTCCATCGTGCAAAAGCAGTTTAGGGTGGACCCTGATATCCATATTCTAAATATTCTCCTCCTAACAGTTGCCCGTGATTTGGAGGCAGAAGCAGAAAAACAAATGCTGACAGCAGTGACAGAAAGTGTAGGAGTTAGAACTTTCACACAATGCTGCTATGTATATGCAGAGTTGTTGTCTGTCATGGCAGCTGGCGAGTTTTGTTTTGTACCATAACATTCTGAACAAAAAAAAAAAAAAGTGCTCTGCCTTAAACTAAAGGGAAAGTTGCTCTACCAAAATGAAAGAGGAGCTTCAGTCTTCAAGCAATTTATTTACTAACCAGGTCCTGCAATTATTATTTTTCCCAGACAGACCCTATGCCAAACAGTGAACTGCAACCCCCAAAGGAGCATCTTCTCTCTTATACCAAAGATCCTATTTGTTTA